CACCCCTGATCTAAAGCCAAGCAAATATTAAGCATTCATCTATTATTTAGACCGTTGTCCTTGCATGTTAAATTCTACACTTGCTTGCTTTTTTAAACCAGCGGCAGCTAAGGGCCGGGAACGTTGTGTTGCCTCGAGGGAATTTCCTCAAATTTGACGAGAATATTCACTTGAATGAACAAATTAGAATTTAGAGGTCAAAGGTTACTGTGATACACAAAATACATTTTTGGGCCATAACGCATAACAAAAACATGCATTAATCATAACAGAAATAGGATAAAATCATGAAGTGATGGATGAAAACGACAACTTGGCTGGTTGACAGAGGTAAACAACTGTACTGTCATTTGCTTGTTCAGCCTTGCCTCAATTAAAAGACTTGAGGTTACACATTGGTATCACTTTTCATTCAAGATTCAAGAGTTTTATTGTCATATGTACAGCAAAACAGGTAGCTATACTACACAATGAAATTCTTTTCTGTTCAATCTCCCGAAAAAAAAAAATAAAGACGACACATTAAGATAAATAAAGCAAGCAAATAAGAACAACAATAAACAATTAAAAGCAACAATAAAGTGTTCACTGTTATGAATATGTGCGTGTGTTGCGTTCAGTGTGTTTGAGTGATTCATTGAGAAGCCTGAGGGTTTGTGGGTAGAAGCTGTTTGTCAGCCTTGTAGTCCTGGACTTCACACTCCTACCATCAGGCAGACGCTACAGGAGTGTGAAGTTCTGTTCTTACTATATTAGGTATCAAATTACATAGTTGTTGTTGGGGAATGTCTCAAGAGTTTAAGGTGCCAACATCTCAAGAAATCTTTACCGGTAAGAGGTCAGAGAACAGCTGAGTGAGTTGTTTTCAGCGTGTTTATGTGGGTAGGTTCAAGAAGACAAAGACAAGAAATCCATTTTGTTATTGCTAACTGGGAATTCCAGACTTCTTCTCCATCTTTTCCACTTTAATGTGAGGGCCGAGCAGGATTTCTTCCAGTTCTGCACTCGCATTTAAGTGGAAAAGATTAGCTGCTCTGGCTCAACACCAGAACCAGATTCTAATCATAGAAAATGGGCTGAGGTGAAGGAGATTTGTCCAGCTGCTGACTGTCTTTTTGCCCACTACCCTTCACTATCAGCCTTACCGGCCAACCTCGACGATACTTCATGAAAACACTTCGTCTCTTCTTAAGTGTAAAAGCAGTCGTAGCTGCATCTTTAAGAAAAAGCGAGAAGAGGAAATAAAAGAACTTCAAGTTAAATATAATAAAGTTGGGAAACTTTCAGTGCGGATGCTCGTAGAAAGCAGTAAACCGATTGATACAAATGTTAGAAATGCAGAAACACAACAATCACCCAGCGATCAAATCAATCTATCCCTTTCTTATCTGTTCTAACTGTTCTGCTCACAACTTCCCCGGATTCCGCGAGGTGAGGCTAGAAATCTTGAAAATCATTGTTATCAGCTGTAGCAGGTGTCGTGTGATGTCAAAGAAGATTGTCAGTTGATGAGTTGGCAATTGACGAGTTGGCAATTTCTGCTGTTGCGCTGCCAGCCCCTGCGAAGTCGATGCTGAATTCGGCTGGCGCTACACAATTGGCAGTCGATTCTGGTCGCCTTGATGATTCTTCTTGTTGTCATCAGTGTTTTTTGTCACAGTGACTTAGTGTCCCCAGGTAGTTGAAGAATGCATGCTGTTTCTCTAAGAACCCAGTGTTTTCCTCTAATACCCGGTGGTTTTCTTTAAAGCCTGGGTTTGTGTACACTTTTTACTCTCCCCATACGGACATCCTACAGCAGATCTTTTGCAGGGAGCTACAGATGCATGGTGGAGCTCAGAAGTTGAACTTGTAATCCTGCAGCTGTGTGACTCTTTATTTTAGCTCATTATCTTTTGATTATTAGAACCCACGTGTAAAACAATAATCAATCATTTTCAGCTTATTCTATACCTTTAAAGAGTTAATCATGCGTTCATGTGGCTATACTACACTGATTCAGTATCTCTTCCTTTTCGCTCAGTAAATAAAAACACTCTCTGCTAAGCCTCCATCTTCTCTTGGTCTCCTTCCTGTGGCTTTTGGATTTATTTTGTGGCTGACAGGTCAGGTATTGATGCCATGCAGGTAAAACAGTTGGCAACCAGTTCTAATTGAAGTTCTGGTTGACCTTTTGGATTCCCTGCAGCAGAATGACATCGCTGGGGTTTATTCTCCTTGTCTTTGGCTTCCTCTTGTTGTTTCGTCTCTCCATCTTGACTGGGCAGTGGCCTTTTGTGCGTCTTCCATAACGTACAGTAGCGACAGAGCCAGAAATGTGACGAGTGGGTTGACGTGGTGGCGCCATATCGATGTCCATATTTGATAATTCATTTAGTTGGTGTTTGAGTTGTGTTTGAGGCATGTAGAAATGGCTTATATATTCTTGTAGCCCAGGTTCTGTTTTTTAATTTGATGTATAATATCACTATATGCTTTGATGATGAGTGCATTGTTTCACACTATTTCCTGTGTAAAACCCGAGAGGCCCCCCGGACTTAAGGGGTTAAAGAGGCCTGTGAGGTCGCCTAAGTCTGACCTCCAGAGGCCCATAAAGCCTTCTGAGTCCAGTTCTCTGGTGTTTCTGGCATCATATGAGTGTGAGAATTTGATGTTCTAATAGTATAAGTAAAGTTTCAGCACAAAAACAATCCTAAGGTAATTAGTGTATGCTAAAATGTAAGTGTGATTTGCACAGACATACCCAAAACATCAAGCATTCTTCTTAAAAAACAAAAACATCTTTTTAAAATATAATGATATTCATCCACTCAGCTTCAGGTTTTGGTAGAAAGTATTCTCTGTGGTAAATCAGAGAGGGTGTTTTCAGACAGTTGATTTGTGTGAACGCTGCAGCATCACTGTGCGACAACCCTTCGATGTGCATTAAGTGCATTCACCTACTAAACTATCATTCCTGAGTTGCACTGAATGTGAGTTGTAGTTGATCATTTTTGCAAAACAGGTTCAGTAACTTTGAACTGAGTTGATTTTTAAGGCTGTTGTTTACTCTCTAATTCACAGTATTGACTGGATGAAAGTAGCACTGTGAGTTTTTTAAATCCCACTATGGCACAGAGAGAGAAAGTGTCTCTTACCAATGGAGCCCAGTGTTGTTCATTCTGGCCTTGTGGAGCTGTCACTGCCTGACTTTGGGGATGTTTCTTCAGGTGGAAATTTCAAAAGATAGCCTGGGGCTTAAGGGCCAGTTAACACTGCCACATGTAGCAACAGTGCAGAAAACACTCCTAAAATCTACTGCATTTTAAGCACAAAGTGAAACATGACAACACAAGTTTGACCCACATTCGCACCTTCCTGAGGTGCCTGTCTCAGTGCATTAACACACTCCGTCTCGTCTCTTAGTGACCCCGCTAAGCGAGCGGGTTACTATCCTCTCGTTTACAGTGTCAGTAGGTAACAAGGCATTATACAAGATAGAAATCAATCAAATTATGCTCAAGAGCCCAGTGTGTGGTTGTGTAACCAACCTTGGTTGTCCGTATAATCTGTCACAAATGATGACTGAAGAGGGTAATAAGGGAGCATATTCCCACCATCATTGTCACAGGGAGTCCCGGGAGACGCTGAGAAACCACACAGCACACAGTGGAAGCAACCGAGTTCATGCTAGAAGACAAATACGCCAACCCTGCTGGAGGAATAGCGAACGAAATGCAGGCTTACAGAGTGTTTCCATGTAGCACCAACAGTGCAGCACATTTTCTTGACTATGAACCCGTGTAGGTATTTCCCTGTAGATCCTTCCTGAGCCTTTTGTTTGTTTCTCCTCACATCCTTCGTCCCACCGTTTATCCCACTGCAAAACAGTCCTGACCCCCTTTTTTTTTTGTCTTTTTTCAGAAAAGTCTGTTTCTCACCTCTTAAATTTTTTACATTCTCTATTTCCTTCCAGCATTTGTTCTACAAGATGTAGCCAACCTTTAGAAGCAAAACAGACAGAGCTGACACGGACCCCTTGAACACCTCCAGCGCGTTATTACGACTGTTTTACTGCACCGCCATCGCTCACCATTTAGCCCCAGCAGCGGCGGAGGAGGAGGAGCGGGGCCTCTCAGACACGCTTTTGATTGTATATATGACAAAAACCTACCAGTTGATAGCATTCTGGCCTGAAATCAGAAAACGACGAGATAAATCACATTGCGGCGGCGGTGGTGGTGGTGGTGGTGGTATGTGTGTGAGGGAGCCAATACAATGAAGGTATCGAATTCACTCTGGATGAAGACTGCACTGCCGGCACTTTCTACATGAATCTATGCCTGTCCAGGGATCATTTGCCATGGTTAATTTAGTCTATGAGCTCAGAGTGGCAATTTCAACCAAGTAATCACAGCACCCCCAAGAGGGAGATAGGTGCCGTACACTCCGACAACAAAGCCTCTCCCTCTCATCTCGCCTCCTCTCATGTCCTTCCACCTTCCCTCCTCTGCTGCTCACATACAAGTGCAGATAAGGGACGCTTTGCTTTATTCCCAAGTGATGCCACTGTAATGCACTGCAGGCTTGAAAAGAGAGTAGCGAAGGACTGGAAAGAAGTGCTGTTTACTGTTTTCCTAGCGGTGCGTTTTGGGAATTTCGGGCGGATCTGAGGGGAGTTCCAGGGCTGAAGGCAGAGCTGACAGTGACACATGGAGGCTTCTCAGGATGCAGGAGAGACACGTCTCAGAGTCCCCACAGAGACGAGCTCAGGCCGAAACTAATACCAGTTATTGTAGCTGCGCGCCCTAGTTTGCTGTGTGCTCTGTCCCGTATATCCTTCTATTAACTGAGTCTGACATATCCATAAGGATGATGGAAGGGCTTGGCTTTTTTTTTTTTTTTTTTTTTGCAAAGCCATTTCCTGTGCTGAATTATAATGCCTGGAAAAGGGGTGAGCAGAGCAGTGCGTTTGATCAAATGTGCAAAAAAATATATAAATGTGAATGTGTGTGTTTCAGAGCCCACCATCATCACCACCCTGCCCTCCACGCTGGACGTCACCGTGGGCGAGAGCGTGGTCCTGCCCTGCCAGGTGAGCCACGACCCGTCTCTGGAGCTCAAGTTCACCTGGTTCTTCAACGAGCAGCTCATCCACTTCGGGAGCCACGGTGGATTTTTTGAAAAAGTCGGGGGTGTAAGTCCATAATCCTTCATTCTTGGTTTCTGACAACCTGCGAGACTCTCGGGCCTCTGATTTTTAAAGGAGCTGTCATGTTGGGAGAGCTGTGCAGACAGCTTTCCCTCTAACAAACAGTCCAGGGTGCCGCATTGTTACAATAGTTTATACAGCACTGGAGCCACCTGCTGAAGTATCGGAGTTCAGCGGGTGCACTGATAGTTCACCGGGTTCAACTCCAGCTCGTGGCTATTTGCTTCACTTCTTCCCCTCCTTCCTGTCTTAGCTCCAACTAACTAACATGCTACAGGAAATTCCAGTAAGAAACATGAGCTAATAGCAGTGATGCTGTTGGCCAAGACCATCATGTTATTTGTGTGTGTTGTAAACTATCACCTGTCTTAAAACGTGTGTTTCGTAAGCCTCATGTGTACGTATACATATCTGAAATTCCTTCCTGCTCGCTCGCAGCACAGTTTGAGAGCACAGGTGTTGTACTTCTTGCTGTTTACCATCAAAACAGAACACGCTAGATTCTTGCCAGTTATGCTGCATTAGTGCAAAACCTCATTAGACACCAGCAGCTTCACTCATAGCAAACTGTGTCAGTGCAGGGCTCAGTGTTTATTCTACTAATCCGTCACACGATTCATGAGAATAGATTCTGCACGCACACATTTGATCTGAAACCCCGCAATGAAACTGATCACCTGTCCTTAAAACTTTCTTTAGTGGTGTCCCTTCAACACTATCCCCTTATTATTAATGTAAATCACCAACCCGGCACTCTGAGCTAACAAGTAGTTCAGCTTCCTGTGATACCGAGCGTTTTCCACTCATCACTTTACTGATTCCCGCAACAACTTGTGCTGATCCCGTAAGCTCCAGATTGTTTCTAAAGCCCCGCATGTGCACACAGCAACGGAAACCTGCCTATTGTCAAGCCACAGCTTTTACAGCATATTTTCCCCGATGAATGCTTAAGACGCGAACCTTATTGAGGTTTGTTGAAGAATTGTCATTTTATAAGTGTCACCGTGCTCTTATTAAAACCCGCTACATAAAAGACATTGATTTATTTTTCAACCCCCCTTCCGAGATTTCATTGAATAAAGGTCGCGGGGGTGACTCCGAAGATTCATTGGTACATCAATATTACGCTTCTTCTCCTTTTAGCAGGGTCATAATAAATTCAGCCGCAGTGCAGAGGGAATGTTTGTATCATGTATATTATTTATGGCCAGAAAATTGCTGCCTGTGGTTTATTTTAAAATGAAATTTACATACGCACCCGGCAACCAGTCTCAGTCAGCCGCTGTGTACTTTAAAGGTTTGCAGCTTGCATCTCAGCATGTGATGCTTATTTTTTTAGCTAAAAAAAAAATCAAGGCTCCTTTAAAAACTGCAGGCGTATAAAAAAAAATAAAAAAAATCAGTGCAAGGGTGTTTTTCTGTTTCTTTTATGATTTAGGTGTTTCTTGGAGCATGATTTACAGTCTCCCCCTCCTTAATAAATTGCTGTTCATCTACGCTTACTTTGATTAAGCTAACAGCCACTCCATAGAATTCCTATTGCCACTGTGCCACAGCTCTCCACCATGTCCAATTTATTACAGAACCTACTCAGATTTACTCAGATGAAATGATAATGTCGGAGTGAGAATTGCAATTAGAGACGGAATGAAAGACTCGCTTAAAGAACTAACTATTAGACTCGCCATTAGAGTGCTCCACATACCTGAAACGGCCCCCGTGCCGCCGTCCAAATCAAGCTTTTAGAGCAAGTACATTTCTGTAATTACAGTGATAAAATAAATGCATGGAGTGTGTCCAATGTAGAGAGAGAGAGGTATTTCTGTGCCCTCTTTAGAATATGGAAGTGAATGCTGCAGGAGGAATTATGGATTTATTTTTCAAGACACACATACATGAGCTTTCTGTTCAGCTGGCTTTGTTCCCATGAGGCTAGAAAAGTATTGTTCTTGAATTACAATAGCTGGAGGTGTTGCTTATGGAACGCTGTGTGCTTGTGTGTGTGTGTGTGTGCATGTGTTGAATGACAGCAGCATTCGGCAGGAGACATTATGATTCGAAACATCCAGCTGAGGCATGCGGGGAAGTACACATGCGCCGTGCAGACCAAGGTGGACAGCATATCCATCGCTGTTGACTTGGTTGTCAGAGGTAAGTCACATTCCACATTTGCTCTCACTGCAAATGGACATGCTTTAGCTTCAGGATAACTGCTGATGAGATACTTCAGGTTTTGAAAGTGTTTAAGCCGTTAAATAATTTATCATTTGTGTACCGCCGAAGAATATTGGAGTTTGTCAGGGAATTTGTATTTTACTGTGTCTGGCTGCACCTCGCTGATGAAGAAATAAAGAGCGAGAATGAAAAGTGAGGAGAGAGTGGAAATTTCTCTCTTCGTGGTTTAAAGGAAATTTACTGTCTAATTAGACCGAATAGCTCCCAAAGGTTTCACACTGAACTGACTTCGCTGCATTAGCCGCAGGTGCTAAAAAGCACGGCGACTCTCTCTCTCTGCCATCTTTCCATCTCTTTCTGATTTACATTTCCTCCCCCTCCCTCCTCTACCTCTTCCCCACCGTCTGTCTCTATCGTTCTCTCCTCTTTTTCCCTGCCTGGCTATGCCCATCTATCAGGTCCCCCGGGGCCCCCCACCAGCATCCATGTAGAAGAAATCACTGATACCACAGCCTCTCTGTCCTGGAGGCCCGGCCCTGATAATCACAGTCCAATTACGGCATACACCATCCAGGCCAGGACACCATTTACCCTCGGGTGGCAGGCTGTCACCACAGGTAAGCTCTTTCCAACCAGCCGTGGCCTCCTCCAATCGCATGGAGGGGGTCGCTCTTCATTCTGCCTTGGCTGGAAAATATTGGAGATGTAATTTTTACCCCAGCGCCAAATGGCACGCAATTGTACCGAGACCATTGACCGCCATTTTATCGGACTCCCGGGAATCCTGAGAAGATTGATCTCGTCCCGATGATGAAGCTTGTTGCCAGGGCTGTAATTTGATAGGGTAGTTAAGTGATAGCATCAGTGTCATTTTTCCCCCCACATCCTCTTTAATGGCCCCCTTAGCATTCACGCATGGTGGGTATAATGTGCTTTTATCTCATACTGTATACCTTGTTCTATTGATATTTTTGTGAATTAAGGACACTTTAATCTAAGATAGTTTTACCGGCCTCATTGATTTGCCACATTAGGATCATATATTTGAAACAAAGCTACAGCGTGACCTTGTCGGAACTCAGAAGAGGAAAGTGATGGTCGTCATTTTCAGTCGAATCACCTCCAGTGATTTCGATGCTTCACTAATTCCAGTGAGCATACACAGTCTATGATATCATGCATGCTTAATCATATAAGAGACTCTTCTGTGTTGTTGCTCGTTTAGTGAGTTTGTTAGAGCATTATGTGTCCTTGTGAGGGATTACACCTGTCCCATGTACCTGCGGTGGGATCCCACCGGCTCTGTCAGCCCGGAGGACGACCTGCTGCTGGTTCTAAGCTCTCACGCACACACATAGCAAACACACCGCGAGCACACAAAGTTTCACTGAAACTGAACGCGCAATGTGTACTTCTGTGCCAGTTCCTGAGGTGGTGGGAGGCCACCGGCTGACAGCGACAGTAATAGACCTGAGCCCCTGGGTGGAGTATGAGTTTCGAGTCCTGGCAAGCAATACCATCGGGACCGGCGAGCCCAGCAAGCCGTCCAAACAAGCAAGGACGAAGGGCACCTGTATGTACTGGATTGAACCTCTCTCAAAAAAATATCTCTTTGTTTGTTCTGTCAGTCCAAGATGAACGTAATATAACACATTTCATCATATTTTTTTAAGGAATAGCTCAACATGAATGTGTTCGAAACAACTAATAGCACTTTTTTTCTCCTTTCTTTTTAATCCAAACAAAAACCTTTATTGTGAGCCTTTATTTCTAATTGTAAGCCTTTTTTTCTTACAAAATTCCCTGTAAAACCAATTTTTGGGGGTTTTTGATACTCTGCCTTAAGAATAAAATATAACTTGTCATTTAAAATCTTGTAACATCCGTGCAATAAAACAAAAAATGAAAACAACAACAACAAAAAGAAGCAGACTTGGTAATAGGTATTACCTCCCTGTCTCAACAAACTGAAGCTTAAAAGGAAAACAAACGATTTGCCATGATTACATCCCTTGTGTTTCCTTGGTATCTTTTGGACCCAGTGTTGAGGAGTTTGCTGTTGAGGATATCGAAATGTTGAAGTTCTAGATCAAAAGAAAAGCCATTTGGGTGTAGCAACAGAGAAACGATGATACGCACCTTTACAGCGTCTTGTGAAGTCAACACGCCCAACGCTGATCTGTCTTCTTTCTCCAGCTCCAAAGGTCACACCAGCTAATGTGAGTGGAGGCGGTGGCAGTCGCTCCGAATTAGTCATCACATGGGAGGTAAGCAAGCTTGTTCGGGACCCCGTCACCCATGGAGGAGGCAGCCAGGCGTCATTATTCTCCGTGGATCTGGGCCTCTGTTTCATTAATAACGGCTGAACAGCTTAATGTATGGCATTTCATTTTTAAGAACAGAGAGGCAATAACTGCCGCTGTCACCCTGGGGGAGAGAAAAATGCTTTTGAGGTTTCAATAAGATAATTAAACTCAATGGTTCTTTCGAAGTCCCAACTTTTTTTTTCCTGATTATTTTTCCTTTTCTTTTTTTTTTCTTTCTTTCTTTCTTTCTTTTCCTGCCATGCTCTCCTTCTTTTTTTTTTCTTTCTGTATTTCTACAAAGCCTCTGCATATCAACCCGGCTCCAAAAGCTTATATTTGTTCAGGCTGCTCAAAAAAAAAAAATCATCAGTTCCTGCTGTGAAATGTTTCACAGAATCAGTGTTGATATTTCAATATGCAAAAGTTCAATTCGAGTGTAACTTCGGCTTAAGAAAGCCACTATTTCGCCTCAGCCCTGAAAATTCCGGAGGCATTTTCCTTTTGATATAAAAGCAAGGATGGAGGGTTGCATTTGCAATTTTAACTTTTTCTTGTAGACAGAAAGGGAAAGGCTGCACATTTCAATTCACATAGAAGTTGTAACTCAGAGCCTACTTCAAGAACCAGGATGAAGACAAGAAAGAAAAAAAAAGTCTGAAACTGACTTTGATGATTTAGTTGCTCTCAGGTTGTTACCTGTGGTGGAGTTAAAACTGTCCAATCTGTCCAGAGGGTGGCAGTAAACCTGAGTTTAATCCTTCTGTAACCTGCCTAATAAATAATGTGAAATCCTCTATTCAGTGTTCATATGTTGGCCAAATGTAGTTTAGGAGCACATGCAAGAAAAGGTACTTGTAAAACACTAATGGAGCACATTAATTAAATATAAAGACGAGGAAACATGTGTGTGTGAACAAACTGAATAAACACAACATTCGTACATATGTCAGTTATAATGAAGAGGCCACAATAAACGACAACGAATCGAAATACAGTTTTCATTACAATTTATATATATGCATAAATACAAGGGAAGTAATAGGGTTGGTTGAATAAATTGTGTTGCTTATAAGTGGAATAGGAAACATTTGAATAAACAGAATGTATGTAAATGTTGTCAAACATTTGGAAAGCACCAAACTACTCATTTTATTGATTTAAACCAACTGATATTGTTGTAATTCTAGAAATTAAATGAATGGAATTTCGCAATTTCATCATCTTATTTTGAATGACAACACAAAGTAGACTTACAATAAGTTTTTGGAATTTGACATATTCAAATTTTATGTAATTAAGTTTTCTAAATTTCTATTGTCTATTACATTATCATCATACACAGGTGTGGGAAATGTTGATGTGAAAGAAAGAAAAGCTAATATCATCAGGAAACAGGAAAGAAGATTCAGTGGAAAAGTCATAATAAAAAATGGAACAAACGAGGTCCAATAATAGATCCCTGCGGAACACCACAGCTTATTCACCCCACAAGAGAAGTCTTGTGCTCCTTTAAGTTGAGTCACTGAAATCCAAAAAGAGTTGATGGAGATGATGAATATTTATGCTCGTCCAGAGTTCACATATCTCCTCCACACTGTGAGTATCCATAGGCCCTACCTCTTGTCAGACTTGAAAGAAAAAAAGAAAAAGAAATGAAGTGCTTTTTTATATGGCCATGCATCCTTCAGCAGACAGGAGAGAAAATGGTCGGTTTATCGACTGGTGTGCAGCCATAAATGTCTTTCGCATGTTATCAGACAACAGCTGAGTTTATGTTATCATGCTGAGTGCTCTGTAGTGTGTAATGGATGCGTCGAGTAATACATCTTGTGTGTTCGGCGTGTCGTATTTAAGATAAGATAAAACTTTATTCATCCTAAAGGACATCCATGTGCCAGATGTTGCTCTGAAAAATAACATAAAAATGATGTAAGAAATACAGTCCCCTAAAAAAGTAGAAAAGCAGTCAGATACAAGTACCATACAATACTGAAATAGAGGTAAGTAAGCTAAAATGAGACTAGAATAGAAGAGTAAAAAGTAATGCTGGCAATTATACTGAGCTAATAAGCAATATCACACATGATGATAAAATACTACACCTGAAAAAATGAAATGATTTGCCTTAAAAATGTAAAGCTTCAACTTTGACTTTAGTTTACAGTTTCCAAAATGTGCTATTGAAACAAATGAATTTAGATTGTTTTTTGGCAAAAAAGTGCTTAAACTGTGTTGTTTTTCCTGCAGCCTGTTCCAGAGGAGCTGCAGAACGGAGCCGGGTTTGGATACGTCGTGGCTTTCCGACCCCACGGTGCCACAGGCTGGATGCAGGCGGCCGTACCGTCCGCCGAAGCGTCCCGATACGTCTTCAAAAACGAGAGCATCCAGCCCTTCTCGCCTTTCCACGTGAAGGTCGGCGTTTACAACAACGAGGGGGAAGGACCGTTCGGACCCGTCGCCACCATCTACTCCGCTGAGGAGGGTGCGTAGGATTTCATGGCAGTAGTTCTCCTTGCTCACCTCGCATTAGTGGGAGCCCAGATCCGTCCCGGGTCTGAACAGAAGCAGCAGTGGTCTTGTAGCCAGTGTTCTTCTATCAGCACTCGCAGACGTCTTCCCCACACTTCCCTCCCTCTGTTGTTCTGACGAAAGAAGTGGCTTTGAAATTGTTTTGATGTTCCCTCTTTGAGGGGGTCATCAAAGCTCTGTGTTACTCTCTAAAATCTTTATACATTAACTCCAGAGCCTGGCCGAGCGCCCACCAGAGTCCGTGCCAAGAGTGTCTCTGCATCCGAGATTGAAGTTTCGTGGAAAGCTCTGCCCTGGAATGCCAGCAAGAAGAGAGTGCTGGGCTACGAGGTGAGCTCCAGCGGAACACCTTGTTGGTGTGTGTGCGAGCGTGCACGTGGCAACTTATTCTGTTGAATCTTGTTCTCCTCTATTATTGATGAGCGTTTCAGACTCATGCACCTTAGGCGCACAAGATAATAGCTTGCTGCATGCATAATGGTCCAGCCCGGTCCCAAGCCTGTGGGTTTAGTTGTGTTTCTCTTGTTGCTTACCTAAGTACTGTAACCACCCTGATTAGCGTACTGATGCAGTACTCTAAGGGATGGAATGTTTAGCTCCTAATCCACACGACCAAGCAGTTTCAGAAAGTGGCTTTGCGCTCAGTTAGCTCATTTTAATTCCGCTCATTATTGAAATCTCAACATGTGAACAAAAGGTGCTGCCGTTTCGCTCCTCCTCGGATTGCATAAAGTGTCAGAATTATAAATTGTTGACCACTCAAAGTCAACAGAGGACCGGGGCCTGAGCAAACCATTCCTGTGAGGAAAGACAAATTATATTTGTGCTGCGGAGCGTGCCAGCTATTTCAGCCCTGACAAGCAGGGTGACAAAGAAAATCTGTTATCAGTGGAAGTTGATGGCAGGGAATTTTTTGAAGATTCTGTCTTGTCTCCTTTGTTTTTCTGTATATTTTATTTTCTGTTTTTTTTGTTGGCATATTTGAGCTCCCTGTTTACCACATAACTTAAACTGCACCACAAAGGCATGGACTTCAAAAAGCGAGACGGGGTGACACGCTGCTAAAGTTTGTTTTCAGACCAGTTCACATCCTCCATCCAGTTGAGTTCACATCTCCCTGTTTCCAGTTTGCACTTCACTGACAGGGTGTAACAGAAAGCTTTTAAGGTGTCCGTCGTGTTTTCTGCATTCACGTCTGTGGTTCTGCCTTGTTGCTTTTCAGCTGAGGTACTGGAGTAGAAGTGAAAGGGAAGACATGGCCAGCGTGCAAAGGACTGTAGGAAATCAAACGTCTACTATTATCCGCGGGGTGAAAGGCAGCACCACATATTACATCTCGGTGAGGGCGTATAACACCGCTGGAACGGGGCCTCCCAGCTCCACCGTCAACGTTACCACCAAAAAACCACGTAAGCATCACATCTAATTAGAGCTCCCGGTCGTTTCCTGTCACCGCGCGGCTTCTGTTCGGGGTGAATAATGCGTTTTTCTCCTCTCAGCACCCAGTCAGCCACCAGTTAAAGTGATGTGGAACGCGTCAAACTCCAAGATTATATTGAACTGGGAGCAGGTCAAAGCCCTGGAGAATGAGTCAGAGGTCACCGGTTACAAAGTAAGCGCCGAGTTTCTTTGTGTTATCAGAAAATTGTGTTTGTCGCTACGATGTCTGACTCCCGACCTGACCTCGTCCTCAGGTGCTGTACAAGAAGAATCAGCACAGCCGCCCCAACGTCATGGAAACCAACACCACCTCTGTGGAGCTGGCTTTTCCCACTGATGAGGGTTATATCATCCAGATAAAACCATTTGGAGAGGGAGGGGAAGGCAGCAGCAGCAGGCTGATCACCATCCCAAGGTTGCCAGGTCAGTGGAGAGCTAGTTAGAGTCTCCCTCGTGGCCGAGCTGAACAATCCACTCCCCTGCTGCTGTCTTGCCAGAACAGATCAACTGTCATCATCTCTAAAAGGAGCAGTGTAGAAAAATAATGTGCTACATCAAACAATTGTGTATTTACGGTCTCTGTGTGACAATCCTGTAGCATTCTGTTTAGAATACATTCAATGTGCCTGAAGTAAGAACTCTCAAATGTTTCTGGAAATGAGTCTTTTCAGCTCATAATTACCAAAGCAGGCCTGAGAGGCAGTCGATTAAACAGTTGAAAGGGCAGGACGGTTTTTTTCTTCTTCTTTTTCCACAGTGGACAGACTAACAACCTTGTTCTTTTCAATACCTTTTCAGGCCCCAAAGCTGTCGGCTCAGCATCCAAGGTCTCCACTCTATCAGCCCTCAGTACAATAGCACTGTCTTTCACAGCGCGGACATCTTTATGACAAACGGCTCCCAGCAGACGGTGCATCTGATGTGGAGACAGCTCTCCGGCGGAATGCAAACACAGCCCACTCTGGTGTAACTAGATCCATTCATTTAGATTTTAGAGGCAGAAGGAAGATGCTGATGAAAAAGAAATAAAAAATAAAAGAAGCCACTGAGATGACAGGCAAAAGGAGTCCCCTTCAGCACCCAGGCTAAGTAAAAAGGAGGTTGACCGATGTCGTGACTATGTTGTTACCAAAGCAGCTTTCATAAGAAAAAAAAAAAAAGAACGAGAAAAATGTCTTATATGCATCTTTTTGTATGACATGTTGAGCTTTTATAGATTTTGTTTTCTTAATCGATTTGAAGTCGGTCTGGGCGAGAACAGTTAAGTGCATGGCAAACGACATCATCAGATATCCAGTTTGGAGGTTAAGAATGTGACAGCACACCTTTCGTCTTCTAAAATAGGGTAATGCTTTGGTTTCAACCGATCAGAGTATGTTTTGTTTTTTTTGTTTTTCCTCAAATGAACTGTTACCTGCTACGTCTCTGCATTTCTGTTTCTGCACAAAAAATATTTTACTCAAAGGATTGCATTAACAGCTTTGCTACTGGTTTCGCTTATTGGTCATCCTAACCAGTATGTGACGAGAGGATTAGCACTAGATGCTACATGCTAATGCTTGCAAATTGCTAGCAAAGTTAGCCAGATGAAGTTAATTTAAATGATTTCATTTCTGGGGTGGAATATGATTTCCTTCTTATACGTCGTGGATGTGCAGAAAGTGCAAAAGAGAAAACATTAATATCATTATCTTCATGTATCAAATCATGCTAACTGCCACTTATTACAAAGAGAAGTTTGAAGTTTTGTC